ATGCGACATACGTCATCTCGACGAGCTCACGCGGGAAGTGCAATGAAATTCTAGAATAGCGGAAACGCACAATGTGTGTGTTCCGGTATGAGATAAAACGGCGCTTTATACATAAAAAATCGAAAACAAAAATCGGCATACCGCAGCATCCGTGGCGCTTGGAGAGTAATTTAACGTCCCCAGCTGTTATTCGAACCATCCTACTCATGACATTCCTCGGGTTTCGACGCGTGGAATGCCGTTCATCTTTTTTTGTTCCGGTACCCGTAGCCATGCAGAGCGGCCGAATCGCCCTAGAATCGGGCTCTAAAATTAACCAGCTCTAATTGTTGTGGCACGTGTAACGAACGGCTCTCTCTCGCTGCATTATTTTAAAATAGCAGTTATTTACTCCTAAACAAAATGACATTGGCGCCCCCATATGACGTTTAAGGGTTCCAAAACAACTATACTGGCTGCCGCAGCAGTTTATTTTTTTATTTTTTGTACTGCTATTAAGACGAAATAGATTATTTTGTTGCATATTTCGTCAAAGGAGAGGCCCGGGTATTTTTTTTCTTTATAATCAGTGATTTGTTCAACACATGTTCTTCAACACATCAATAGACTGATCGATTGATTGATTGATTGATTGATTGATGAAAACCTGCATTTTTTATGATTATGAGGTGGTGTCATAGCCTCCTCTATATTGGAAAAGCCTGGCAGATCGCCACGAGCCGCGGCCGCCGAAAGTGAAAAGGTAGAGCGGCAGACAACGGATGAGAGGAGAGCCACGTGACGGGCGCCCCGCTGCGGCGAGACGTCGAAACACGCTTGTCCCGAGCGATGGAACGACCTTTCGTGCTCGTCGCGTTCCTTGCACCACCGCTTCTTTTCTCGGCGGGTATGAAAATCGTGTTTTGGGTCCTCGCCGCTGCAAACGCAATGCGGTGACTACAAGTTCCCCGAGAAATACTGTGCTACCGGATTCTCGCGCTCCAAATCTACGACTGGGCACTCTATGGCTCCGTTGTCGAACTGCCAAGCCTTGTGACTATAGAGGAGGCTATGGTGGTGTGCAATGAGACTCGGGCATGGGGGCGCGCGGGGTTGTAAGGTGGAGTGTATGTCAATGGTGCTTGAGTCCCAGAGATGATTGAGTCCCGGACTTTCTGATGAAGTCCACCAAGGAATCAAGGAACGCCTTTTGGTGTGTTTCTTCGCCTCTTGGCAATGGGTCCAAGCTACCAGTGTTGGTTTGTCGTTGGCTGCTAGTTCCCACGCCGTTTTTCGATGTTCTTCTAGGCTTTTGCACGCCAGTAGCGAGTGTCTGATGCTTGCCGTCTTGTCTTCGCAGCATGTCTTGCAGATTGACTCTTCTTTAAGTAGCCCAAAAGCTGCTAGTTTGGCCGATGTAACTGACGTGCTGGTTCAAACTCTTCGAAGTCTGATCGCTTTCCATCTTTCGTATACCCCCTGGGTAGCGGGTAGTCCTCGGTCGGCACGAGTTCCCTCAGGTAGGCTTTCCTAGCTTGTCTGGCTAGTTCGGCCTTTTCCTTTTGGTCTTCCGTATCTTCTTTGACCTCACGAGTGGTTGGGCCTGTCGCAGAGCTCTTACTACTTTCTGCCTCATCTGCTTCGGTGAGCCCACTCGTTGCCGGGAATCTGTGTCCCGATGCCCTTCGTTCCCAACTCTTTGGTGATCGTTTGAATGTTCCTTGCAGTTTTGATTTTGGGTCAGCTGCCCGTACACACTTGGTGTGACCCTTGAGCGTCAGTAAAAATCCTGGCTCTCTTTAGGTCTTCCCTGTTGTGTCGTATATAATGCCTGCTTCCAGAATAGACCCTTTTCAAATGTCAGTCATCTTGTGGCAGTCCCAAAACCTCTAATATTGCCGCTCTGATGGCGGTGACAGGTGATCATGCTCGGCTAAATTATGCACCCTCGATTTTGTGTAGAAGTTGACGTAGAACATATTTTCCCCTTTCTGCCCTATGCTTTCGAAGACATTCCCCTTTTTCTGGCGTGGACAAGCTGTGTAGTACCGCCATTAGAGCGTCGGGTCTGGCTCTGCACAGGGTGGGTAGATGGATGTTTCGAAAGGGTCTATTGCTCTGAGCTCTGCCTCGCGCGCGGAGTTAACTCAGATAATAAGGGATGTTCACAAGACGCTATATTGTTGGACGTTACTCACAGCACTTGCCCAGAACTAGATCCCATTTATCGTCTTCCAATAACAACGATTCTGATTTTGTGGAAAAAAATTGGGTTGCGTGTGTGTTTATGCAGCCTGAACTCAGTCTGCCTCAACGGCAGACTTGTCTCCCAGCTGTATACATGAGCAATTTAGCCAGTGCGGTGCAACCGCTAGCCCAGGGTCTTTAACGTGCACCACGCAGTAGTGATACTCGACCGCACTCCGGTACGATGCTCATCCAGATCGAAACGGGCAGTTGTGGGGATTGAGCCCAGGATCCCTGGGCTCTGCAGCGCGAGCTTTCGCTCCACGTGCTCCGAGCTGGTGTGCGCTATACTTCGTCTCACCTTAGCATGGACTAACCGCGAATGCTGTGCTAGCGCGAGCGGCTAGCCTTGACTACCTTGGCTGGAGTACTCGCTGCACGAGTGCTCATGCAGCCGCCGGGGCTTCATTCAAAGCAACTAGCTCGCGCTTTTAGAACGCGCGGCTAACAATAGTCCATGCTAAGGCGAGACGAAGTATAGCACACACGGCCACCGATCCCCCCCCCCCCCCCCCCCCCCTGATTTTGTGGAAGGAACGTTGAGTCTTTATCCTCGTGCATTCCTTGTAGTCAGTGAAGCCAAAGCTATTTTTTCTGCTTGTAATATTTCAAACTGTACCACCCTACAACAACCCTGAATGGGGTTAGTAGTATTGGAAACAAATAAATGAGTACCCATCCGCTCGCGAACTTCGAGCACCGACCAAAGTTGTGCACGCGCGGAGTTCGCTGCTTCTTAAGTACCAGAAAAAGTTGTCCACGAGCATTGTTCTCAGGATTCGCTGCGAACAATGTCCATCAAAATGGCGTCCCGCAAATACCCCTTTTCTTCGCTAAGTAATGGAATTGTTTTTGTTAAATTTGGTCCTCGCCGCTTTTTTTTTTTAACATCATCTTTTGGCAAACTGGAAAAGTGACTAGAAATCTGCGGTACAGGTTCACTGCTTGGTTAGCAGAACCTTGTTTTGCAACAGATTTAGAAAAGTTTGACCGTTCTTACAGGATGTTGGAGGCTCACTCCAGCACTAAACAAATACGCGATATACTCTGTTTTCTAGTATGGCTGGGCGATTGATCGATTAACGTACCGATTATTTGATTAATGCTTTAATCGCGGTTAACATTTTTAACCGGTTAATCGGTCAAATGAAAGTAATATTTAAAGGCTTTCACCACGCAGGCGTGGACGAGCACACCTGTATGAAGGGTAAACTTTAGGTCAAATTTTAGAATAAAGTAAACTGTAGGGGCGATATTTGTAACTCCTGACAAGGGGGAGGGGGGGGGGGGGGGGGGGGCAGAAGGTTCCACGCGTCCCGGCCACCTCAACGTCGTTCGAGTGTCTGTTTAACGTAGCAAAGGCTATTGTGAAACAATCAAGGGAGGCAGCTCTTGCCGGAGGATATCAACAAACCTCTTTGCCTCATGCAGCTGAAGTAATAATCTCTAAGTGAGTGTCTCTTGACTGTTCTCAAAGACACATCGAGGTTGATTCACAATCCAAGTTGTATATTGCACCATTTATCACATTATCAACAAAATCAAAACAAAAAATTAATTTTGACTTTTTGAAAGAAAATGTTTTGCATTGAAATTAGCGACGCAGATTAATCGAATAATTAACCGATCAAAGGGTGGCACTTAATCGGGCTGAAACGTTTAATCGACGCCCAGCCCCATTTTCTAGGCTACCTGCTTGATCTGCAAGTGTTCCAACGTTTGACGTCATGTTATCAAAAAACTCGAGGAGAAACGGACACGTGACCTGCCACGAATCCTTCAATTATGTTCGGGGTTAATCGCTTAACTAGACAGCAACATAATTAATTCTGTCCGAAGCTTTTTTTTTTTCGTTTAATTGTTTTTAAGGCGGTGTTGCGTTTACTCCTTTAAAAGAGTAACCTTACTCCCAGAGTGTCGCAGGATATACGCTGGCAGACGACGAGAAAGACCCGTTCACATGCTTGCGTTTGCTTACTTTTTCGGTCGCAAGTTCTCCGTCGAGAACACACTAACGCGCTGTTGCGCCGCCTATGAGGGAACCCTGGAACTGCATTTCACCAGGTTTTTCCGCTATTTGCGAGAAGTGTACTTACACTCTGAGAAATGGTTGTTTATAACGTTGTCAAAAGTTCCTTTGAAGCCGAGAAAGAAAAAAATGGTGAGCTTAAAAATTATAAAAAAAATATACGTAAATGCCACGTCTATCGCGGCTGCTCGATAGAGGGCGCCGGTTCTCTGGGCGTAAAAGAGTTTCAGGTTTGAAGGCAAGTTGTCGCCAGCGTGTGGCTACAAGCACCGCGTGTCTTGGTGTCATCCTTTCCCACGATGCGCTTTGAGATTGTGCTTCGGGGAAGGAAAGGCGCGGCCGCCCATTGCACCTTTCCGCGAAACGAAACCAAAACCGTTGTCCTGGCAACGGGAGGTGCGGAAGTTTTCGCAGGCGGGCATCGTCGCCCACACAAAGGATGCGAGGAAAGGCATCGCTCCTTATCTGGACC